ACAACATAAAAGGACTTGGTCAAACCACTTTATTTATTCTCAATTACGTTGTATAACCATGTATATATATATACACACCAGGGATTTAAATAATAATTGTGATCATGTTTATGTTATGTTTATTATTATTGCGGCAATAATATATGCTATTGCGATAATTACAAGTATTACGGTTGTAAAATAATAATTTCAGACAGTATCTGAATCGTTATATAATTATTGATATTCTAATAGTAGGTCGCCATTTAAATCTCTAATATAATATTGTAGACACTCATTTTCGTCCGAGACATTAAGGGCTTTAATATAGTATATAATATATAATTTCAAATGTAGTTTTTAAAAATATATATATAATATATAGTTTTTTAAATATATATATATATATATATATATATAATATATATATATATATATATTTGAAAATGTATAATATAGTTTTTTAAAATATTTTGAAAACGTATATTTTAAAACAGGTTTAAAAATATTGTTATTATTATATTTAATATATTATTATTTTTTTATATTATAATATATTATTTTATTTTATTTTTTTATTTTAAGGTCTAATTTAGGGTCCAAGTCCAGTCCATGGTTCGATCTCGAAGAGGTCCAAGCATACGGGCCTGACCCAGCCCATATGTAAAATAAGGTTTCACAAATCAAGCTCAGTTCCACATCTACTAGAGCTATCAGATCAAAACATAAACCAACGATTGAGATCGAAGAAAAATAGGGTTATAAAATCCTAATCATATGAAGCCAAGCGCCGCACGAGATGAAGCAAGCAGCCCACGCGCCAACAACCAGTGGGATTTCTAGCCGAACAACCCAGGACTGACCCATCCCGGAAGAATCGGCAACACCCCGAGATACTCGAGACTACAACGGTCGATTATGGGGCTATAAAAGCTCCGACCATGTAACGAACAAGAAGAACGATCGGAAAGCAACCAAACGAAGAAAGCAACACATCGTGAGCAACCAAATCCAGCAAAAAAAAAACAGAGAAAAAACGAAAGCAAATACCAAAGGTCGAGCAAACAAAACAACAAATACCAATCAAACCAACATCCAAAAAACAAGCAGTCGAACTAACCAAACCACAAGCATACAAAGAAATAAGCATCGAAAAAAGCAAGGGAAATCAAAGCAAACATCGGCGTGGGATCAAAGGAGGAACGACCACCGGAGCTCGAAAGATCGCCGTGAAACAAAGGTAAAAGTCATAACTTTGGGGCCTAGATCTGCTTCGATTGAGGCATTATCTCGTTCTTCTAAGAGTGGGTTCGGGTTCACATGCTCGAGAGGAGTATTTTTGGTTAGGTTAGTTTTTCCAGCCACCAGAGGCGGTGGTTGGGCAGCGGTGCGAGGCTAGGACAGTGGCCGGTCATTCGACTGGATGGGGAAGAAGGGAGAGAGTTGAGAGTGTTTTTTTGGGAGAGTGTTAAAAATGTTATTTTTTTTTGTTTCTTGGGGTATATATAAGCGGGGGACTAGAGTGTAATTATAAGAAAGTTAAATTATTTCCGCAGTCCCTGGTGTTTTGAAGTGTAATTCATTTTGGTCACCAATATTGAATTTACCCTGGAATTTTGGATTATTTCGATTTAATCCATGTTCATATTTTTTTATGCAATTAAGCTCTCTAGCTTCTCATTCTTTCATTGCGCCCCCAATTCACTTTAATTTGACCTCCAATTCCTCGTATTTTCCGATTTAGCCTTTTGATTTTCTTTATTTTCTTCCGAAATTTTATTTTATTTAGACCCAAATTTTAATTCCTTTTTTTAAATTCCTTTTTATTTACTTTAATATATTTTTATTATTTTATTTAATTTTATTATTTAATATTTATTTGGCTTTGTTTTTTAGGACAATTTTAAAATTGATCAAAGGTAAGTAACTCGGATCGAATCTTTAAATTTCATTTTAACTTTTAATTTCTCCATCAAGACAACCGATAAATTAAACTGGTACCGAAAGGGCAGTCCAAGAGTGTTAATCCTGCCTTGGCTGTAATCGACTCCCGAATTCGACATATTTCTGGTAAAGCGTAAATCAAGTAAGATAATAGATTAAGGTGTCCGGTCAACCCAAATGATCGATGGCAGCTCTAACATGTTTTATTTAATTCGAAGATCAATTTTGGGTCCGCCCGAAAAACGGTAACGACAAATATAATATAATATAATATATAATATAAATAATATATATAATATAATAAATATAATATAATATAATATAATATATATAATATAAATAATATATATAATATATATAATATAATATAATAATATAATATAATATAATATAAAGAGAATGATAGGGGTTGAAGCTACCATTAATTGCAATGAGTTTTCCTTTGATGATAATACTTGATTACATTTCTTTAATTTATATCTTAAGAATATGATGAGTTGAGAGAATAAGTTTTTTATAATTTTATTTAAATAATGATTAATAAATTAATTACGAGTGATTAAACCAAAAGAGAAATAGTTCTATCCTATCGCCTTTTTTATATCATTCGCTTAGGATTATTTTATTTTATTATTCACACTTTAGTGACCATTTATGTAATTTACCCAAACATAAATCAGCTCACAAATTGATAAATGCAAGGATATTCGTTATCTTTGATCCTCTCTTCCTTTTCACATCCGATTCGTTTCTTCCCCAATTTAACATACTATCAAGAACCAGGACACAGACCCAAGTAAATCGCCTGCAGTAATGTCCCACGTTCTCCTCCACCATCTCGTTCCAATCAAAACCGTCCATCTCAAATCATGTTCTCTCCCCACCCGGCCACCCATAAACCAACGGCCTATATTCACCTCCGCACCAACCCAACAAAGGGCGCCCCCACAGAGTGCATGGCCAATCCCAGGAGAGTTAAAATGATAGCGAAACAGATAAGGAGAGGGCTCTCCGACATGCTCTTAACTGACAAGGTGTTGCAATTCGCCGTCTTGCCTGAAGCCGCCTTAGGAGCGGACCGCTACCTTCCCTTACTACCATTAGTGATGTTGAAGTTTCAACTGATTTACAGGTACCGTTTTTCTGTACAAATACTTGCGTTTACTGGGGATTTCTGGGTTCTCCTTGTAGCAGCTTTTGGTTTGATGAACTATGATGAATACCTTAGCTAATGAAGTAGAAAAGTTCTTTTTTTTTCTGTTGATTTGCTTAATTTGTTGGTTTTGTTGAAGTTTTAGGTTCTCAATTTGAGGAGGTGCAGAGTTTAAGAATTTAATGGTATAGGAATTGCTTTAGTGAATGACATTTCCTTGTTACTTGTCTAAGTGTGTGCAGGCCTTGGGGGAATTGAATTGATTGATTGAAAGGGAAAGTAATAATAACTTCTTAGGGTTTATGCTTGTCTTGAATTTTGAATATTGTTCCATTGACCTAGTAAAAAGACGTAGGAAGTATCAGGGATTCATTTTATTCGAAAATTAATATACAGCATTGCAATGGTTGACTATTTAAAATCGGTTGACACCTAATAATTCATGTTTTCTCTGTCCATGGAAGTAGGTTGTTAAAGTGTATGTATCTGTTTTCGATGATGAGAGAGGGAAGGATATTGCGGTTGCTGGATTGAAGTCTAAAGCTAAGTACGTTAGAAGTGAGCTGGGGAGGCGTATGAAGTTGCGGCTTACACCAGAGATACGCTTTATCGAAGATGTATCTCTGGAGAGAGGAAGCAGGGTAAGTGCTAGCAATATATTGTTTTTGTTGATGGTAAGTGCTTACAACGAAGATGAATTTCTGAGCCAATCTGATTTGGTAACCTGTTTTAGGTAATTTCCATATTAGACAAGATAGAGGAGGAGAAAAAGACTGCAGCAGATGACGAAGAAGTTGAATCCATTTAGTCTCAAGATGACAGAGACTGGGAGGATAATGACCCTGATGAAGATATTATTTACGTAAAGTAGCTGCCTTGCCTTCTCGTTTGCTTAGTATTTCTTCAGGACAGAATGAAGTTGTCATAACATTTTTACAGGTTTGTTTCTCCTTGTGGATTAGCTTAGTTCAATGGTGTTTGAGGTTGATTCTTCTTTGAACAAAGGCTCCCTTTTACTTGATTATTTTTGTAATGAGTGAAAGTGAATATTTAAAAAACCTCGATTAGAAGGTAAATGAACAATTTGCCTGTTTTGGTTAAATCTTGTTGGTTCATAATGGGATTTTGAAAACGTCATCTTTGTGGTGAAAGAAACTTAGAAATTCTTCAGACTTGAGAATGGTGTCCTAGATATATACAGATTGAGTGTAACTAACGGTTTCTTCGTTTCGGGTACATAATAGGTTGATTAAACTCATCTCATGTATGCGGATACATTAAACAGCACATAAAGGCATGTTCTCAATTTGGTACAACTGCTTTGATGAGTGTCAGTGAATGAGTACTTGTCTGAAGCATTTGTTAATGTATTGCAGTGTGGCAGTGTGGAATTTCCAAACCCCGAGTCTCACTCATTTAGTGCCTTCCATTGTTCAAAAGCGTTCATCCTTCATGAATCTCTATTCAAAGTTTCATATTGATTTCACTGTTTGATTGTGCAATATATACACCATATAATGAACAATTTATCAACACTTACGCTACGTTTAGTTGGGGTGTTAATTTTTCTTCATGAAATTTTCTACTAAAGAATGATTTTTTTTCATGCATTGCTTAATAACTTTGTGATGGATATGAATTTCAAGTAAAGATGTAAAAACAATTTGCTCAATTTAATCGGGAGTGTTGTACGATATACCAGGTATCGATTTCACTTACTGATTTCTATTCATTCCAATGTACATTAGGCAAGTGTCAGAGATTTTATTCTGCAGGAATAACTTGATTGCTAAGCCAATGTTGCTGGTAATAATAAGCTAATGCTACAGGAAGACTTGCTTATAACAGAATTTAGGAGCCAAAAAGTGACAGCATTATTGCATAGAACAATAATGCATATAATCATCCAGCATGTTGCCAATTAACAAAATCATCATAGTGCCATTGCCAACCTAAAAATTAACCTTAAGGGCCATGTTTATAACACAAACAAATTTGGGAGATAAGTATGTCATTATCCGTAAAAGCTTTATAAGCTGAAATGAAAAACTCGTACAATAACATCTATATGCTTTATTCCTACACCAAGTTCAATTCATGCAATTCAAACCAACTACGATGCTTCAGTGGTGAGCCTTTGCTTCAGCTTTCTTATGAGACCTTGCCTTAGCCTGCAGGTAAAAGTAAAAGCAATAAGTAAGCACGTCCCAAGCAAAGGTAACATGTTATTGTCAAAATATATCGGAAAGAAAAACAGGAAGCCACCGTTAGTGAAACACATTATCAAGTCTTACACTCAGTATTACACATAGTGGCAGGAGTTGATCTCACACCCTTTACTGAATGATGGCTTGGATATGTAAAGCACAAATCAACATCTATCAATATATTTCCTAAAGAGAAATGTCCGAGCTCAGATATTAGTATTACAGCTTATGCATCCAAGGAAATGCGTTAAAATGTAAATCAAGTTCCCAAAACAATGTCTCTTAGAAGCATTAGATGCTAAGATTTTACAGCAACATAATGTACATTCGTAAGATCCTAATTTCAAACAGTTAGAGCAGGAAACCCAACTCCCACATTGTGAAAGAGGCGTATAGCTCCAAAATTGTTCCCAAAACAACAAAAGCCAGCAGGGTTTATCATCAAACAACTATTACTGATATATTGATCAAAATAAAATAAGAAATTATCATTCAAATAATAACATTGAAACATCAAACAAATGAAAACAAATACCAGAACAATCCCACTTAGCCGCAGGAATCAACACCCTTTATCCCCACATGGAAAAACAGATCAAAATTAAAAATATCCATAACAAATGTAAATCCAATTGTAACAACGAGATAGTCATTCCCATATATAAAAATTAAAGCCATACAAACAGAAAAACGAAATTGAATAAAATAAAATAAATCCAAAACAAAAGCAGTAAATCAAAAATACCTTGAGGTACTTGAGCTTGAAGCTACCATAAACGAGTCCAAAAAGAAAGCAGATGCACGAGCCACCTATATATAATATAAATGAATCAATTCAAAAATTGCTGCATTTGATCTAAGCCAAAAGAACAGAGAAAGGGAGAAATGAAATACAAGAGCGAGGGTGCTGGTTGCCGGAGTAGGGACCAGGTGGAGGCGCCATCGATCTGCTTTGTTTGAGAATAGGACGACGGGGTTTCAGATCAGAAGAAACAGAAACGCTTACCCTAGAAAATTTCGGTGGATTATTGGGAGTTGGGAGGGGGGTTTTAAGCGAGCGTGGTAGCTTATTCGAAACGACGGCGTTTTGGGGGGACGTTCTTCTCGGCCAAATTTACACTAGTTTCTCTTTTTTTTTTAAATTAAAAAAAAGTTATTATTATTATTGAGGTTAAAGTAACACACATATGGTCACTGGTGTTTTAGCACATTTTTATTTTTACCAATATTGTTTGAAAAGTTATATCATCCTGGATATGTGCCCAGTCAACCACCACTGCCCCCTTTTCTGTTGTTAAAACTCCACGATCGATTACCTACTTTATCATCGCACAAAATCTCCAACATAAGTTGATATCTTCCAACATAAGACAGGTATTTGGTGCCACATCCATTGATTTTTGCTTCAAATTTTCTCAATCAAAGTCCTTTTCTGTAGGCAGATATGGAACCCTTAAATGCCTCACTAGGAGGGTTCCTATCTTAAATCCAATACCCATTTTGAATATTTATTAATTCATATTGTCCTACTCATGAGTAAAACATCTCACTCTTATATAGCTATATGAATGCAACTGAAAGTTGGGATACTTATAAAACTGTTGAAGCAGACATTGTACCTCAATAATATATTCAAAATCACCCCTGCTAGAAACCTTCCTCAGCCTACAAAAGCCTCGCTATATACCATCTTTTCTTTCTCAATACTCGCCCATCTCTCGAAGACCAGATCTTCAGCCTGGCGCCTTATCCTCACTACTTGATCTCTCACTGAACATTTAAATTTAAAAGATATCTACCTAACAATTCTTAAACGGATAATGCATTCAGTATCTAAACTTGGTTTAGGACTCCATTTAGTACATAAGTTTTTCTCCATTATGTACTTGAATTTAGACTTGATGGTTAATTTTTTATATCTAGAGTTTTTATTTGGCTCATATAGGCACCCATACTTCGATATAAAGTTTAATTTGATATATAAAGATTTTTTTTGTTCCAAATAGGTATTTGAACTTACGTTTAAAGTTCAATGTAGTGCAAAAAGGTTTTATGGTCTAAATAGGTACCCATACTTTGTTTTTTAGATCAAAATGATAATACTTTTTTGGTTTAAATTAAGTACCTGCGGTAAATGATCTATTTCAACCAAATTGAACTATAAATATCAATTTTTGTTACCAAAATGCCAAATTCAAGCTAATTAAATTTTAAAAAAATAGATACCAAAATGTATATTTACCCATAAGAAATATACAAAGTCTGAACCCCACCATGGAACAAACAAAAGCAAGTTCCATATACAGCGCTGCATAAAAACAGGTGCCAGAAGTTTCTTGTAAAAGATTTGAGGATAATTGCTTTCCAAGTCCAAATCTTATTACAGTGTCTGATTAATGAATCATTAAACAGTTTTCTACAAACGAAATGCCCAACTCTTTACTGAAAAACAAATACAGAAGAGTTCATTCAACTCTTCTAACGTTAATGCACAAATCCTGTCAACTTAATGCTTACAATTACACTACGACGATCTACCGTATAAATTTAATTAAATATAATGATTATAAACGATGATTATTCAAGCCGGTGTATGATTTTACTTCGTTCCATCATCTGAGATTGGATATCTGATACAGGTTTAAGTGTAATTACCATAACCATGGAAGTCTTTTGATGTTGGAGGTTGAAAACTGATAATAACAAAGTGGAACAGGGACCAAGTTACTGATTTGACTCGGTTTTTGAGGTCGTGCTCCCGTTCTGTTGTTGGGGCTGCTGAGAAATGTCGAGCTGGAACATCTGGTGATTAACAGAAAGCTGCTCCGATACCATTCTGTTTGAGGGGTTTGAATCACCGCCTAGCTGTTGAGTAGCAAGCTTTAATCGCCGGACCTCTGCAGTTAATGCTTCATTTAGAGCTTTCCAAATGTAACACAAAAATGAAGGGTAAGTTACTGAAGCATAAAATTTCAGGCAATGCAGTAGTATGATGGATTTGATACAACTAATCGTCAGATGTCGAAAGGATGAATTACGAAGACATATGGACGACCAACTCTGCTTAGGAAAAGTCATCACAAAGTTCAGCACGTTGAATGGCATACCAAAGATAACAGACACCTATAAGGCTCAGCAAGCGGCATGCTCATAAAGTAAGTTTATGAACCTTTCATTCTCAGTAGTTCAGTAAAAGTAGAAGCAGCATATTTGCAGTAACAGCATACAAGATAGCAAGACGTGTGCGGCACTAGCAATCTAGAATATAGGAACAAAATTTGTAGCACGAACAGCTATGAGCAAGCAAAAGAAATTGTTTTCACTACTATGACATTATATAACTGCGCTGAAAAGAGGGCACTCAGACTCAAGTATTCGAAACACTCATTAAAAGCATGTTAATCAAAGAGCTAAACAAGATTGCTCAATACATCAAATTAGTCATCCATAAATACAATCCTTGTAATTCAAAACTCTGAATAGTTTGTCAAATGAAAGGTCAGAGATTTAAGTTAAATGAAAATCATCATACCATCACGGAGTTGTGCCTGCTGCTCCATGGCTTGAAGACGAACTTCAACTCGTTGTTCTGATTTGTGAGTCCAACAGAATCTCTCTACATCAATTTAAATTCAATCATGAGAAAAGAGAAAACTAAAGCTAGGAAATGTCGATATAACATGCTATGCTCTAAAATCTTCAACCTGTAAAAGTGTTAGCTGAGCAGACAAGGTGGTAGCTTCGGTCTGCAGAGTCTGAACCTTGTGCTCCAACTCTGAAATATAACGCATCTTCCTTTCTTTGGAACGGGCAGCTGATTGACGATTTGCCAAAATCCTTCAAAGAACCAAATAACAGAAGTGAAATGCTTTTGTAAGATAATAAAGTTACAAAGCAGTACTCGAACAGTAGGATACCTCTTTGCCCGCTTTGGATCAGTCATTGCAATCTCGACAAGTTTCTCATTTGCCATGATCTTCTTCAATTCAGCCTCGGTGAACTCACCATTTCCAAACTCCAAACTAAAGGCAGCCGACTTCCCATCGATCGAATTTCTAGGCGAGAGTTGTCCTGGCCGATTCCCAGGTGAAGCTGGTAATTTTGGAGATTCATCACCAAAGTTCAATTCCCCTATAAAACTATCCATCGAAACACTTCTAAATGTCTACCGGCCGGAGTAATGTCCCCTGCTGCACTCCTTTTTTTCCGTTCCCTTTTCTCGGTCGAATTCATTCCACCCCGTACACCATTCCCACTTTCATTCACACTGCTTTCAGCTTCATTGTCACTGCTATCAACTCCATTGGTCTTCGTCCCACTAGCTCTGCTATCCAAATCTTCATGATTCTCATTACCGTTATTGTTCTTATCGTCACAAGGATCCATCGCATCGATGTTATCCAAATTCATATAAGCAGAAACAAAGCATCCACAACTACCCTTCCGATTTTCTTTCACACATTCCTTCACCGTTGCCATCGGCACCTTTGTCCCAACTGGTTTCCTTTTTCACCAATTGCACCGGCCTAGGCGCTCCCGAGTTCTCCTTACTCGAAACCGATCCCTTTAAAGGAATAAGAGGAGGCGAAGATTGCATTATCGTATTAAAACCGAATGGAATATCACTACTGGAACGCCTATGTGATTTTCGCGGTGGCAAGCTCTCACCAACCCGTGGTGAATTCCCTCTTGAAAAAGGGGACAGCGGCAACAACGAATGTGAAGCTCCATCCCTTTCGTCCATCGACACATCGGCACAAATATGGTCGGAAACCCGTTGATGAATCGCGACACGGGGAAGGGCTCAAAGGGGGCAAGGAATCGAGCGAGAAGAACGAAGAAGGCTGAGACAGGGAATGATTGGTCCCGAGTTAAAACCCTGAGAACCCATTTGCTGGTTCGAAGAGCGGGACATGGGGATCTGTGAATAAGGTGAAATGGGTGGGATCTGGTTAGGGTGTGAAGGAGGGATACCAACTCTTTTGTTAGTAGCATCGCCGGCGCCGGCGCCACCATTATGGCCAAAATGAGAGAAATGTCCAGCAGCTCTGATTTGATTAGGATTCAACTGAGGTATTTCAATGATTCATTGATAAATTGTTTGTGGATTGAAGATGATGATGTTCCAAATGAAGATTGAAGCCTTTGCATCACAACATCGGTGTCACCTTCTTCACCATCACCCGTGTTCTTTTCTCACAAAATTTAAATTTAAAAAAAAACCCAAAAAGTAAGGAAAAAAAACTTCGGACAATTCAAGCTCAGCCCAGTTCACTCCAAAACAAAAACAGCAAGAAGTTGACCCAGCAGAATCTGCAAAATGAGCGATACAGAGAATTTGACAGCAAAAAAACAATACAAATAAAGTAGAATCAGCGAAACTTAGAGCAAGGATTATATTAAGTGATTGTTTTAAGTACCTTGTAAATATAGGTCAAAGTACGGGTGGGAAAATGAGCAAAAAAGAAAAACAAACAAAGACAATGGCAGTCCGGCGTAACTTAGCAAATAACAAAGTGCAGGCGAAGGTGCAAGTTAGCAAGGTCGCAACCCACCAAAATCTCCGCCGAGTTTAGCGGCAGGCGCTTTCTCTCTCTTCGTTTTCTCAGTTGGAAATATACATTTTTAAATAAATGAGTTTGGGGTTTGTCGGTCTATACACAAATTAAAATTATAAAAAATAATAATAATTTATTAATCATTAGTAAATTCAATTGATTTATGTGCTTATATACCATCTTTGATAAAGTAGAAAGGATGCTTTCGCTCTCAAAAAAAAAACTTTTTTTTTATATAGAAATTCGATGGAGGGGACACGGATTTCATGACATGTAAAAGACTCCTGAAATTAAACATTTCATTTGGATTTGCATTTGCATTTCGATTTCATTCCGACCCCATTTCACAATTTCTCCCGCCTTTATCTCCGCACCTTATTTAACACCTCGATCAAAAATTATTCATATTTTATTTTCCTTTTCATTATTTCCATTTTTGTGTGTAAATAAAAGTGTATGGATAAAAAAATCACTA